AAAACCTCTCTGCTGCACCTCTTCAACCTTCCTCCCTGCACCCCTGCCTCTGGCAACCACTCCTCTTTTTTACTGTCAGCATAGTCTCTCCTTTTCCTGAGCATCCTCTGGTAGGAACTAGACAGTGTGTAGCCTTCTCAGATTAGCTTCTTCCAGTTTGAAGTTTGCATTGAGGTTCCTGCATGTCTTTTTATCACTCGATAGCTCATTTCTCCTCTTTGAATATTCCAGATCCGGAGGTGCACAGTTTGTTTATCCGTGCACCTGCTGAAAGACATCTTGGGCGCTTCCAGTTTGGGGAAAGTATGAATAAAGCTGCTGAAGGCATTCGTGTCCATAAATGTTCTGCTCATTTGGGTAAACAGCTAGGTAAAAGCTGTTTTTAAAAATAGGATTTTCGGGACAAGCATTAAGTGCAGTAGTTAAGACACTGCTTGGAGTGCCTACAAAACTCATCAGGGTGCCTGGATTCAAGTCTGTCTCCATTTTTTCCGGGGTCTGCACCTACTCATGCAAACCCTGGGAAGCTGCTCAAAGAGTTGGGTGTCTGCCACCCAGATGGAAGACCTGGATTAAGTTCCTGGCTCCTGGCTTTAGCCTAGCCCAACCTGGGCAGTTAGAGGCATTTGGGGAGGAACCAGCAGATGAGAGATCTCTCTTCATCTGTCTCTCTGCCTTTTGAGTCCAAAGGAAAAAAATAAACGGAAAGAAAATGATGAAAGCTTTTGATTAAAAAGCCCTGAGATTTTGGTGTCTTCTTTTCTTGCAAGAGTCCAGAGGAAAGTGTGCCCCCTCCCCCAGCGTGCTTCTTTTGGGCTCAGTTTCAAATTTCAAAAGGCACAGCAGGGGGCTGGCACTCTGGCTTAGCGGGTAGCTCTCCACCCACAACTCGGGCATCCCTTGTGGGTGCCAGTTTGAGTTTTGGCTGCTCCATTTCCAATCCAGCTCCCTGCTCATGGCCTGGGAAAAGCAGCAGAAGATGGTGAACCAGGTGTTTGGGCCCCTGCACCCACATGGGAGACCCAGATGGCGCTCTGGCTCCTGGCTTCAGCCTTGCCCAGCCCTGGCTGTTGCAGCCATCTGGGGAGTGAACCAGCAGATGAGCGATCTCTCTCTGTCTCTCTGCCTCTCTGCCTCTCTCTCTGTAATTCTGTCTTTCCGATGAATAAATCTTGTTCTAAAAAAGACACAGCGGGAATGTGGAAGTAAAGAAAAGCCGGGAGACACTGATGTCCTCCTCCCCGGGCTGGCTGAGCCCTAGGCTGTCCTGGATAGGACCTAGCAGTTCCGCTTCCCTTGAACTCCCTGTTAGTCGGGGAGCCTCCCACTGTGAGAGGAGTTTTCCTGAGATCTCTCAGAAACCTGGACGGAAGGAAAGCAAAGGGGTGAATGAGTCCCTTGTTTTCATTCTACTAGGGGGACACGGTGGGAAGCTGGTGACTTTGAACTGATTTTTTCTAATTTTGCCTAATCCTCCTGTCTGGCCATCTCCTCCTCTGGTTCTGCTGTTTGTTGTAATGGTCCTTCTGGTTGACCAGATGGCCATTCAAGGCGCCTGTGGCCCCATAGCCAGCTAGGTGGAGTACTCTGGGCAGTGCTTTCTGTGCCTTGCCCTGCTAGGCTGACCTCCTCATCAGAGGCATTTGTCCTGTAGCACCTTTTGTCTTCAAACCCCGTCCCCACCCCCACCTCTGCAAAGAGGCTTAATTTTGTTTGAAACAAATGGTGGCCTTCCTTTAGATTGGAATATTGCTGCTGTCTTTCTAATCGCTTTCCTCACAACCGTGGTTTGGGGTGTGGCTGGCTCACTATTTTGTGTGCGCCTGTGTTTTGGAATTACGGTATTTGCTTGAGTAAGTGATGCGTTTGCTGCTTTCGAAAGAGAGGAAGTGCCTTTGGGAGTCCTTGGAAATCTCCCAGTTATAGGGGCACCGTTTTATTTATTCAGCCTTGAACAAGAGAGCCCTCGTTGGAGAAGATACGTTAGCCTTGACTTGACCCATGGATGTCTTTGGGTGTCCCGCAGGTCACCCAGGGTCTGGGAAGGAGGGAGTAAAGACATTTGGTGGCGGGTCTCTCATGCGTCACAGTTGAGAGACCCTTCGGGAAACAGTTTGCTGAGTGGCTAATTTGTAGAGATTTTAAAGGGGGTGCCTGTGGTTTGACATGAGATTCCCAGGAAGGTCATACACAGATTCAGAATGTGCTGTGTCTCCAGCGTCCAGTGAGCTGAGAAGACCACAGCCTACTGCACATGTCGCCTGGTGGCTCAGCCTCCTGGTACTGTAGAGAAACGTGAGGGTTGCAACAAGGTACCTATAATTAATTATATACAGTGTACCTACAGTTATAGGTAACATTTTAATGTGGGGTCTTCAGTACCACGGGGGCTTAAATACGCAGTTTCACAGGTAGTCTCCGAGTGTCACTGAATAATTGCAATGCATTCCTGAAAAGTAAGTCATTGTGTTTTCTGAGGGGCAAGGTCTTCCCGGTTGAAAAATGGGAGATCACCTTATATCAGGGGTCATCCTGTGTTTGGACATTTGAGGGGTCTTCAAATGGCTCGCAGAGGTTCTGCCGTTGTGGCACGGTGGGTTAAACCCTCGTCGCCTGCGATGCCAGCATCCCGTATAAGCCCTGGTTCCAGTCCCGGTTGCTCCATTTCCCAGCCAGCTTCCTGTTAATGCGCCTGGGAAAGCAGTGGAAGATGGCCCAAGTGCATGGGCCCCTGCCAACCACTTGGGAGACCATGATGGAGTTCCTGGCTCCTGGTGCCAGTATTTGGGGAGTGAACCAGAGGATGGAAGATCTCTCTCTTTCTCTAGCTCTGTCAAATAAATAAATAAATGTTAAGAAAAGACTTGTAGTCTTAAAAATTTCACAGAAAATGCACATTATGCAAAATGCATTTACTTGCACTTGGCTCTCCTCTTCCTTGAACGTTGAAAGGCAGATGCGGGTGTGCGGTGCCCCGAGACCGTGAGTGCGCAGTCCTCCCTGGTCGCGGCTGTATCTGGACTGTGGGAGTATCTGTGGGCAAGCCTGCAAGTCTGCTGCAGCTCTTCCTTCTCCTCCACCTGTCCAGCCCTGAGTGTCCCCCGCCCCCTGCCCCCAGCCTCCCTCTTCTGAGTCCTTTGGCTTTTCTTTCCGCATCTGACTCCTCGATTCGTCTTCCTGTCTTGAACGCCTGCCCTTGGCCGTTTGTGCGCAGCAGCCTGGCCGCCTTCCCTGCTGTCTCTGAATGTTGCTTCCCAGTCTGCTATGAGTGCTGGCAGCGTCTCCGCCAGCCTGTCGTCCTCCATCCCGCCTCCCTGCCACACTGTCCCCTGTCCCCAGGCACTCTCGGGACCTTGCAGGGTTTCCACTTCTGAGGCTGAAGCCTGGTGGTCCCCAGGCCATGCCTTGCCCACAGGGGCACCCCTTGTCGTGCGGTTCCCACTTTTCGATGTAGGTTTGTGGCCAGCATGACTGAGATCGAAGCTGGATTTCCGATGCTCTTGTGAGGTGGGAGGAGCTGGCAGTACTGGGACCGACTGTGAGTGGCTCTCCCTGCTGCCTTCCCCACCAGATGGGCGCTAGCTACTGTCCCCTTTTGTTTCTGGGCATTGATGAAGTGAGTCTGTCACCATCTTTGTTCCATCACGATGACACTATTCAGTTCCTTGCAGTAGAGATAATAAGAAGAAGATGAAGAGACCAGAAATGTTGTTTCCAAACAATGGGAGAGAACATGTTTTTGTGTATGTGGAAGGGAAGCGAGAGATCTTCCATCCACTGGTTCACTTCCCAAATGGCTATAACAGCTGGGGCTGGGCCAGGTCAAAGCCAGGAGCTTCATTGGGGTCTCCTGTGTGGGTGGAGGGTCCCAAGCACTTGGGCCATCCTCTGCTGCTTTCCCAGATGCATTACCATGGCGCTGGATCAGAAGTGGAGCAGCCGGAACTTGGACTGGCACCCATAGAGGATGCCGGTGTCACAGGTAGCAGCCTCACTCACTGCACCACAACGCCAGCCCAGTTGGTAGTTAATAGTCAAGGTGTGTCCGAGCTGACAGCCTGCCACTTAAAATGCCAGAGCTTATTCTTAGAATCATCGGCCTACATGGCTTTCATGGCCACACTTGATGCTTTTCCCCTCATGTAGACTTTTCCCAAATACATGCTTTTGCTTCTGATATCCAAAACGATCTCTTTGGTGACATAGATTCATTGGTATTTACTGAGTACCTGGAATGTGTGTGCAAAGGTCCTGGGGTGCAGGGGTAGGGAAACCAGTCCTGTTCTCTGCCCTTAAGGAGCTTGGCTACCCCAGGCACCTCACACCCAGCATGACCCCAGTGCATTTCTCCCGCCCACTGCTTCCTGTCACTTCAAGCAGCAGATGGCTTCACTCCTTATCTGTCAATCTTCCTTCCCCCTGGAACTTAATTTCCTTTGGCCTCGTGTTCTCAGGTGTCACCCTAGGAACTAGGATGCTGGCCCCTCTGGAGTCCTTTATTTGGCCCACGATAATATCTGCTTGCTAAATAGATCAATGTATTATCACCTGAAGATTTGCTGTGACAGCTTGTAGTCAGCTTCCCATTGTTGCCTTCTTTTTAAAAACTGCTTCCCCAAGTGTATTCCTTCCTCTGGCTGCAGCTCTCCACTGTGTCACCAACCAGGGCCCCACCGGTGTTTCCCTGGGTGTGTAGGCAGCCCCTCTGTTGATTGGCCTGTTCCTCTCCCCGCTGACCCTGGGTCCTGTGGAGGCTCCGGTTTAGGTCCCACTTCTAGAAACTTTTCAGGATCCTGTCTGTGCTCTGTGCTCTCTGCCCTCTCTGACGTCGTTAGCATCTGTAGCCTACAGCAAAGAATCGGATCCTGGCTTGTAAATAGTGTTGAGTGAGTCTCCGTGCAAAGTGATTCTAAAAGAGTTCATTGCCCTTTCAGATGCAGGAGGTCTTTCCGCCGTTGCACATGCCTGTCTGAAATCTTGTATGATTTTGTTTTTTTCAGAGACTTGAAGATAGAAAATTTGCTACTAGATGAAGACAATAATATCAAGCTGATTGGTATGACTTTTTTTTTAAGCAAAAGTATAAATGTTTTGTGTTGTCAACTCTCAACTGTGAAAATTATCCGTGGTGTGTTTGTAATCCCCAGATACCAATTCCAGGTCACATGCTTTTATTTCCAACGGTGAATCATTGTTTGGAAAATGACAATTAATTTTACTAGTAGTAGTAATTTAATTTAAATACATTAAACGTAATTAAGAAGATAATGATATTGTAATGTGACCATGAAATGAATTTCACAGCCCTAAATAAACATGTTTCTTTGGATTGCTTACATCACAGCTACTCTGTACATTCAGAGGGAGTTGAACTCTTTATTTGGATTAAGCAAAAAACATTTTTTTGGACAGGTAGAGTCATAGACAGAGAGACAGAGAGAAGCAAAAATCTTATTAAAACTAGGTGGAAAATAGTTTGGGTTGGAAATGCTGTCTGCAGCTTCACCATAGCTTAGTCTGCTTCTCTTTGAATACAGGGACATTAGGGGGAATAGGGGGATTAAGCTTACCTTCTTTTTAAAACATACAGTCATCCCTCAGTATCGATGGGAATTGGGTCCAGGATTTCCCTTGGAGACCAAAATCAGTGGATGCCCAGGTCCCTGATTAAATGGGGTAGTATGCAGGTAACATACGCGCATCTTCCTGTGCACTTTAAGTCATCTCTCGATGGCTTCCAACACCTTGTGCTGGGTAAATGCTGGGTAAATAGTTTTTGTGCTGTGTTGTTAAAGGATAATGACTGGGAAGAGAAGCTCTGTGTATGTTCAGGGCAGGCAATTTTTTTGGGGGGAGTGTTGGGGGGAAGAGGATATTTTGATCCTTGGTTGAACCCACAGATGCACAACCCAAGGATAAGGAGAGCCGGCTATGACCATGATCCAAACCCACAGAAGAACAGCTAGATGTCTGCTCCACGGGGAAGGAACTGTTCAGGGACTGTCACTGTTCAGGGTCCAGGAGCCACTGCTCTCTGTGGCTCATTGTCTGAAAACATTCGAGTTCTTTTCTTTTTGCCTGTGTGGCCGGTCTTGGCACCAGCTCGGGGCATTGTGTTTACCCTAGATATTAGCACCATCTTTTCTTCCTCTCTTTTTTCCCACCTCAAATGCAAGTAATGTCGTCTACCTCTGTGGCGTGAAAGAACTTCCTAGCAGAGGAAGAGAGAAGGTTCCTTCGTGAACTCAACTTCTGTGCCCAAGGAGGAACTTTTGTTTGGCAAGCCATGAATTCATCTCCAGATTCCACAGTAGGTCACCGCAGTGACTTGTTGGAGAGCCTGGAGTGGCAGTTGCCTCCTGGCCCAGTACTAGGCAGGAGCCTGCTGGGACTCCAGCCCTCATGGCTGCTTGATTGAGGACCACCGAGAGGTGTGGATGGATCATCCATTATTGGAAAAGTAACAAGAGGAAAGCCAAAAACAAAGTAGCAAGAGGAAAGCCGGAGCTAGGCTGGTCCAAAGCCAGGAGCCAGGAGCTTCTTTTGGGTCCCCCATGCGGGTGCAGGGGCCCAAGGACTTGGGCCATCTTCTGCTGCTCTCCCAGGCCATTAGCAGAGAGCTTGATTGGAAGAGGAGCAGCCAGGACATGAACCAGGGCCCATGTAGGATGCCGGCGCTGTAGGCAGACGCTTAGCTCACTACACCACAGCACCGGTCCCCAGACTTTCTTTCTGTTAAATTATTTTATGCTTAGCTTTTACTTGTCCTGGGGGCCAAGTACGGAAGCAGTAGAGCAAGACAGTGTCGAAATGCCTGCAGCTCCTTATGGGAACTGTGGCCTTAAACAGAGGTGTGTCCTGGGGGTCAGGAAGGGCGGGCCAGCTCCTTGCGATTTGTCTTTGGAAAATGTGGAGGTGACAGTGATGGAGTTGTCCTTACAGCAGCAGAGGTGGAGATTCTCAGGGGACAGCCTTTGAAGGTCAGATTTACATTCTAGTAAAAAGTAAAATAATTCTCTTCCATGTGGCATCGTGCGGAGGGAGGAGGCAGGTGCATGGAGCACAGGCAGTGTGCACATCCCCAGGGACCATCGCCCAGAAGTTTGCTTTAGCATTGCCGGCCTCACTTTCTTTGGCCTCTGTGCTTGCACTGTCTTCCCTTCAAGTGAAGCCACCAGATGACCATTTATAAAGCTATCCCGTGGAATCAGGGTGTCGAAAAGCAAATACTTTTATATTTTATTTATTTGAAAGGCAGTTACATGTTGAGAGGAGGTGGGTTGGAGGGGGGAGATAGAGAGAGAGAGAATCTTCCATCCTCCACTGGTTCACTCCCTAAGTGGCTGCAATGGCAGGGGCTAGGTCAGGCTGAAGCCCTGAGCCTGGAACTCCATCCAGGTCTCCCACATGGGTACAGGGGCCCAAAGACTTGGGTCAACCTCTCCTGCTTTCCCAGGTACATTAGCAGGGAGCTGGATTGCAAGTGGAACAGCCGGGACTTGAACCAGTGGCCCTATGGGATGCTGGCTTTGCAGGTGGCTTAACCTGCTGTGCACCACAAATAACCTTTTTATGAAGGAAAAACTTCCTCAGAAGATTCTGGAGGAACCAGTTCTCGTGAACACTGGCTGCACTTATAGAAAGTAGCTCACAGCTGGGTTAATGGAAGCCCCTTAGAGGAGACCTGTGTAAGCTGAAGAAGTCGCCTCCCTCAGCACCCACGGTGCCCCCTCGGCGAGTGTGATGGCTGCTTTTCGGATGTCAGCAATCATTTTGTTCCTCAGCTCTTAAAGCAGGCACTGCAGGTCCCTGGGATGAAGCCAGCATTTCAGGGAGGCGTCTGACGCAGCTGTTGACATCCCATATCGGAATGCCTGGGAGAGAGTCGTGGCTCTGCTCCTGGTGCCGGCTTCCGGCTACTGTGCACCCTGGGAGGCAGCAAGCGATGGCTCGAGTGGTTGCGTCCCTGCCGTAGGAGACGAGTTTTGTTCCCGACTCCCAGCTTTGGAATGGTCCAGCTCCAGCTGTTGCTGGGAGTGAACCAGTGCATGGGGGACTCTCTAAGTAAACAAAAATTGAAAAAATAACGACAAGAGAGAAACCAGGAGTCCAAACATTGCTGGCAAGGAGACACTGGTGTTTGTTAAGCGCTTTCAGCAGCCCTTGCTCATGACCTGAAATTGCACGAGACGTTGTACCGCCCAGGAGCCGCTGGTATCGCGTTCTGTTTAGCCCAGCCTGCATATCCTCATGTTTTGAGGGAGAAACAGCCGGTGCCTTGTGGGTTTTCTTGCCTTGGGCTTGGGCGATTTTGGATCAAAGGTCTCTGCTGCCTTCCTGTTCTAACTTAAAGGCCCTTTGAACCTCCTTTTCTTCAAAGGCGCCACCCAGTCATTTTTCAGAGGTGATTATAGCTATTATCATTTCCCCTTAATAGTTTCTCTTTCTTTGAAAGATTTTTGGTTAAATAAGTCCACTTAAGCCACGTTTCAAATGAACTGCAATTACCAGGAGTAAGATTTGATTCAATCAGGAGCTCTCCCCTCCCCCTTCAGAAACGGCCGTGTGTTGCTTGGTCAGAGTGCCTGAAGCTAACGCGAAGGACCCGCAACCCGGAACAGCTTTGCGCAAGTTCCAAAGCCGCGCTTCCTGGGACTTTTTATTTTATTTTTATTCTTTGAGATTCCTCTTCTCAGAAAACTGGCTGAAGCATTCACGAGATCTAACTGAGGCAGAGCTGTGTGGCATTACCAGGAGGTGGGCTTCTCTCTCGTTTCACAATCCTAATTGCAGGCATATGTGTAAACTTTTAGTAATTACAACTTTGAATATGAACTATGCATGCTGTGGTTACTGCTCTGTATCTGAAATGAAACCCTCTTGGCTAGATCAACATAAGTCGGTTAAAATGCAGATCCTATCTCTCCCACTCCCCACATCTTCTGCTAATTTATCATCTTGAAACTGTGCTTAAGATAAGGCCAGACCCAAATTCTCCAACTCGCCTGGGACAGTGGAGGGGGGTCTGGTCTGCGCTCTGCCTCTCTCTGCCCTCTGCTCTGCCAAGCCCTCTGGATGACCCAGGAAGTGAGCTCAAGGGATGCCCCTGTGCTGTTAAGGGGTCCTGGCTGAGATTAGGAATAGTGTCTTTTGCTTTAATCTCCGAAATTTAGAGTTACATTTTTCTGGGACAAGATTGAGTCTCCAACATGCCTATTCATGAAGCTTTCCATATTTATTTATTTATTAAAGATTTATTTATTTTTTTGAGAGAGAGAGAGAGAGAGAGAGAGCCATCTGCTGGTTCACTTCCCCAAATGGCTGCCATGGCCAGGGCTGGGCCAGGCCAAAGCCAAGAACCAATGAGCCAGGAGCCAGGAGCTTCTTCTGAGTCTCCCATGTGGGTAGCAGGGGCCCAGGCACATGGGCCATCTTCTGCTGCTTTTCCCAGGCCATTAGCAGGGAGCTGGATCAGAAGTGGAGCAGCCGGCACTCGAACCCACTGCAGGCATTGGCTTTACCCATTATGCCACAATAGTGGCTCTGTGAAGTTTCTAAAATAGTGCCCCCAACAGACAATCATCTTTATTGTATGGTACTGTCTTTCCATTTTTCCCTAGATAAATAGGTGCACTTACGCATTTGTTGGCTCATTAAAATTCCTTTAGGTTTTTTCAAACCACAAGCGGTGGAACAAGCCTCCAAGGTGAACCATGATGCAATTTTTCTCCCAACAGCATCTCTTCCCTCTTTTCCAGTTTCAGTGATACTCAGGGTGGGCTCTGAGCAGGGGCCCTGGGGTTCTCCATCTCCATCAGTGGGATCCAATGGGCTTTCTTGAGCAGGATGCGAGGTGTCTGCTGGTGTTGACTGGGCCATGGGCGGGGACGGGGTGGGCAGAGGAAGGGAGCCACGTAGGGGACAGGACGGGGGTGAAATGAGAGAAGGAAGTCACCGAAACCCAGGGGAGCGTGCGGCATTCTGCTTGGCTCTTTGGCCGGCCATGAGGTGGGTTTGGATTCTTCACCATGGGGGAATTTGCGAGAACCTCAGAGGCTTGGCTTCTCGGATGGGCTTCTCTCTAGAACAGCTGTTCATTCCTTAGCTTAGGGAACTCCGTGGCTGTGCCGTCCTGAAGCATAGTGTTGCCAGTCCCCGGGAGGACTCCCAGCCTGGGTTTCTGCCTCCCGAGCTTTCTTAGTGCAGGTGGAGACACGTTAGAGCCAAGGAGAAACGCAGTCATGAAACTGTACGTCATCCTGCTGCGGGAGCAAGGGCGAGGGTTGGCTCAGGACCTGGAGCCGGTCTCTCCCGAGCCTTGTGTTCTGTCCTGGTGGGGACGGGGGGGGGGGGGGTGTGTTTGTGTGTGTGGAGGGGTGGAGGAAGGGGGGAGGGGGGAGTTGGGTGTTTACACCCCGGTTCAAAGGAGAGCTTGGTTGTGATGAGATCAGCTCTGATGGAAGACAGACATCAGATGGGGGCACAGCACCAGCCGCTCTCTCTAATTACCTGTCAGCTACAGTATCTTTAGGATCAAAAGTAAACAGGCACAAAAGGCCCTGGGCTTGCTTTCCTCTCCCCAGGAACAAAGCAATGCCCTGGAGGGCCCTGGAGGAACTTTTTGAAGACTTCCATGGAGTGAACACATTCCCCCTGCAAATGGCGGGGGGCACATGACAATCCGGAGAAAACCAGTCTCCTCCAGCTTTTCCCCACTTGGAGGCCAGCACCCTGCACCCCCAGGCCCTCTTGTTGTTCTCTTTTCCCTGTGTCTGTCCTTTTTCTGCGATGGCATTGATTTGATGGGGATGCATTGCTGTGCGCTCTAGCTGGTCCCCACCCCCACCCCAGCTATGCAATGCTGCAGCCCCCACCCACCTGACACCCTGGAGCCTTGAGCCTCACAGCCAGGGGTCACAGCCAGGGGTCACGGCCAGGGGTCACGGTTTGCAGCTATGGGTTAGCCTCAGAAAATGCTTTCTCTCCTTGCTGCCTCTTTGTGTTTTTGTTTCTTGGTTTTGGTTTCTCTCCTTCCTCATCATTGTACAGATTGCTAATTCCGGGCCGCCTTTGTTTTCCCCTCTTTGCAGACTTTGGTTTGAGCAACTGTGCGGGGATCCTGGGTTACTCCGACCCGTTCAGCACGCAGTGTGGCAGCCCCGCCTACGCCGCGCCCGAGCTCCTCGCCAGGAAGAAGTACGGCCCCAAAATCGACGTCTGGTCCATGTGAGTTACTGGGCCCACAGACGGGAGCGTGGCCTCCTGCCCTGCCCGCTGCGCCTCCCTCCCAAAGAGCCTGCCAGTGTTTGCTGAGATGTGTGAGAGGGCGGGCGCAGGGCTTCCCAGGAGCTGGCCGCCCCTCGCTGTCCTGCCCAGACTGGTGGGCCCTCACCCAAATGCACTGAGGTGTGGGAGCAAGAAGGCAATGGTCTGTCCTCCTAGAGCTCCCATTCTGGGCTCTTGGGTGCCCCCTGTGCCCGCCCCAGTCTTGAGGACCTTTCTCTCGCCAGCCACCTGCCCCATAAAACTGCTTCTGGGGGCTTAGCCGTGCTGCTTGTGGGACTTGGTTCTCCTGGTCTTCTGCCTTCTGCACACGGCCTTGGCTTCTGCACACGGCCCTGCCACCCACCCACTGCCCTGCCTTCTGCACACGGCCCTGCCACCCACCCACTGCCTTCTGCCCATGCCCTGCCTTTTGCCTTCTGCCTGCCTCTGGCCCGTGAGTCCTCACCCACAGTGGCCTCCCTTCCTCCGTCTTTCCCACCTCTGTGCGTGGCGCTGGCTGCTCCCCTGGCCTGGAATGCTGGTTCCCAGCTCTGCAAATGCTGCCCTCGCCCACATTCCTATTTTCATCCAGGGAGCCACTGCAGAGACCCCTCCCTGCCGGGGGTCCCCTGCCCTCCTCACCCCTTTAACTTCCCCTTTGGCACCTGCCACCGCCTGTCATTCCCCTGTTTGTAAATGGACTCCTTGTCTGTTCCCTCAGTGGGGAAGGACACTTCTGGAACAGCTAGGGAGCTCGTGTATGCTATGTGGAACACTGTGAAAGGGAGAATTTGTGCAGGGGACGAAGAAAGGAGGCGTGGGAGGCTGAGCACCCGGGAGATCCTGCCAGGGTGTCCTGTGACCGTGGCGGCATGGGAGACAGGTGACACAGCCCCCCAGGGGAAGTGCTGTCAGTAGGTTGGAGAGCAGCGGCCGTCCATCCCCGAGTCCTGCTCTTGAGGGGACTAGATAGTACTGGGTTGTCCCCAGTTGTCGTAGCTCAGCCTGGGGAGGGGGGCCCTTTCCAGACCTCAAAGTCCAGAGTGACACGTGAGTCGTCAGAGCTGTAGAGGGTGCCCAGGTGGAGGCCCGGGACGAGTGTGACCCCATTCCTTGTCATCAGCACGGTGCTGAGGCCTCTCTGGCTGGCTGGCTACACCACGGGGAGCGGATCACCTCTCCTGTCTGGAGAGACGTGGGGGTACGTGGCGGGGGGGCAGCTGCAGAGCCATCATTTTGCAGCCTGGGCCTTTGTTCTTGCCCCTTCTGCCAGGTCTCTTGACTCGGGAAAAGAATTCACTAAAAGTTAGTGAGCACCAAGGCTCCCTTGCTCAGTTCTGGGCCCCAGGATTCAAACAGAGGGGCCTGCTCCCCACAGAAGGGTCTCCCTAACCCCCTTGGCCTGTTGTCCCCTACTCTGTCCCTACCCATTAGCCAGAACTGTGACTCCACCCTAATGGTGGTGACAGGTGGCATTGGAAGGGACATGGAGGGATGGAGGTGGCCCCAGGCCAGGATGCCCCTGGCTCCAGGGGCAGCTGGGCCTTTCTCTGCTAACCTCCACTTGGTTGAATTTTTCCCCAAGAAGGTTGTGTATGGCTGAAGGCACTCTGAAGAGCGCTAATGGGGCCCCACTCTTAGTCCTGGTGAATTAAAGTCACCTCCATGGAAGACCTCGGTCTTTCTCTTCCCTGCAGCCCAGCTCTGGTGCTACTGGGAAGGAGGAACGAAGGAAAAACACAAAATATTCATTCCCGTGGTGGTGGGAGAGAGGGCAAGCCTTAGTGTACCCGGCTGTTCTAGGTTCCCGGGAGTCATGTTTGATGAGGGCTCAGTGGGCCGAGCCAGTTGTGTGGCCACACTCTGAGTGCAGAGGGCAGAGAGAGAGAGAGAGAGAGAGACCTCATCTCTTGATGGGGTGAGTGACTAGGAATTTGTGTCCTTGTGTTTTTAAATAATCCAATGCACTTGTCTACTGTTAGGGAGCGAAATGTGTCTCCCACGCCCCTTGAATATATCAAAACCCTAGCCCCAGTGATACTTGGAGATGGGGCCCTTGGGAGGGAATTATAGCTGCTGCTTGGTTTCCAGTGGGGTTGAAAGCATTGCAAGTTGAGAATGCATTTGATACTCCTGTCCCACTGAGCGTCACAGCCCCGCAGCACCGCGCACGGCAGGGTGTTGGTTCTGTGCCCTCCCCATTGTGGGGCTGACATGGGGCATGGCCGCCACCACTGCCCAGCCTCGTGGGAGGAGCTTATAGCATATCAGCTTATGGATTGCTCCCAAGCCATCATAAAGTTGAAAATAGGAAGTCACAGCCACTTAAATTGAGTGGCTAATCTGTGGTTCCAGGTGAGACTCTGAGGGTGGGCCTAATGAGAATTAAATGTCCGTAGGGATGTCACAGAGCTTGTGTGTGTGTGTGTGTGTGTGTGTGTGTGTGTCTTCTCTGTGCCATGTGAGGGCACAGCAAGAAGGTGTAGCCGTCTGTAAGCCAGGAGGAGAGTTCTCAGCAGAACCCAGCCATGACCCTGAACTTGGGCTGTCTTCCAGAGCTACAAGGGCATAAATGTCTGTGGTTTGAGCCCAGTCTGTGGTATCTGGTTATGGCAGCCTGAACAGACCGATACACCTCTGTGCCTCCGGGTCTCACCTGCAAACAAATAGAGTGGCAGGTGAAGCCGAGGAGCAAACCAGGAAGGCGTCGGGGGAGCTGGACCTGCTGCCTGGGGCGGGCCAGCGCGGGACTCGGGGAAGAGCACACTCAAAGGCCCGGGTCCTGCTGGCTGTTCGTTTTGGAGAAAACATAACACTTCACAGCCTTGTATAGGGGATATTAATTTCCCACTGCTTTGGGATAGTGTGTGTGTGATAGAGGTCGGGTTTCTGTTTGGTGCCCAGGATTCTGTTGCCAGAATTAGAAATGGAAAAACCCAAAGAGAATTTCCTTTAACAAGCCTGCATAGAGTGCAAACGGAGCCGGTTCTCTCACTGGGGTAGATCCTGGTATTACAAACTCTCCTTTCTGTTACTATGAAACAACAGAATGAAGAGTTTACAAAAGCCAACTCCCAGGCCCTGGGTGGGTGGGGCAGGGACTTTTTTTTCTCCAAGAGGTCTGAGGCTGACTTAGGAAGAAAACCCACTGGTCATTCCAGGAGACCCTGGGAAAGAAAGCCCTTCCCCTACAAACTGAGCCTCCAAGCTCTCCCCCAGGAAAGCAGGAATGGGCAACATGAGTGAGAAAGGTGCCCTCTTCAGTGGAGGATGGCCCAAGCACTTGGGCCCTGCACCCGCATGGGAGACCAGGAGAAGTACCTGTCTCCTGGTTTCGGATCGGCACAGCACCGGCCATAGCGGCCATTTAGGGAGTGAACCAACGGAAGGAAGACCTTTCTCTCTGTCTCTCTCTCTCACTGTCTATAACTCTACCTGTCAAGAAAAAAAAAAAAAAAGAAAAAAAGAAAGATACCCTCTTTCTGGGAGAGTTTCCCATTATTTTTAATGGTCATTTTCTGCGGGACTGCAAAAACAGCCTTAAAGTGATTCACTCCTTCCTTTACTCCGGACAGCTGAGAGCTAGGTATTTGCCCGTGAGTTTTGCGATTTCAGACACAAAACCCAAAGAATCCATCCTGCTGTGTCAGGTCTTTGTTGCTGCCAGTTAACTTCTCCTCTGGGTGACAGGTATGCTCGTTAGCGACACTGTCCTGGAAATTACTACTGAAGTCGAAAAGAAGAAAAATGAACTTAACTTGCAGCGTCATCAGATGCTCACCCGAGAACTTCTGTGAGTTCCCGAAAGCAGAAATGGAGATAGCTGGCTCCAAAAGATGGAGACTCCGGCACTGTTTTCGGTGTTCTCGTGGGGCCCCTGGGGTGGGCAAGGCCCTCGTGTGAGGACCTGGTGCCTTGTGGAGAGTCACACACCACACACCCAGGCCACCTTCCCCGCTCAAGGAATCCGTGTTCACTTGGGGCTGGGCGTGGACTTTGCATCCCCGGTGCCTTTTGGGTCGGTGAGCTGGCTGAGAGGCACGGTCAGCCCTGCCGTCTCCACGGAGTGAGACAATGCGTTGTCAGTACCCCCAGATCTCAGCAGCTTCCCACAAGGAGCAAGTGAACCAGGAGGGTGTTTTCTCTGCATCCCGCACACCCTCCAAACGAGGGGTGGCAGGAGAGGGAGGTGGGGACAGGAAACTCATGCTCCTTTTGAGGAATTGAGGGGGTTTCAGTTATTTTTTCAATTTTATTTTATTTATTTATTTGAGAGGTAGAGCTATGGACAGAGAGGGAGAGAGAGAGGTCTTCCATCCGCTGGTTCACTCCTCAAATGGCTGCAAAGACCAGAGCTGAGCCAATCAGGAGCCGGGAGCTTCTTCTGGGTCTCCCACGTGGGTGCAGGGGCCCAAGCACTTGGGCCGTCTGCCTCTGCTTTCCCAGGCCACAGCAGAGAGCTGGATTGGAAGTGGAGCAGCTGGGACGTGATGAGATGCCAGCGCCGCAGGCCGAGGCTTAGCCTGCTGTGCCATAGCACCGGCTCCGGGGGTTTCACTTCTAAGAAAGAAGCTTCCTTTAGCTTCTGAGTTTTCTCGTTGATAAAATCCAAGACTTGTTTCTCTGTAGCTAGCACGTCCAGTGAGAGTAGACGACGATAAGGAGAAAGGAAAAGGAAGCAAAGTCTTGCCACGCACAAGGAACAACTTCTTGGTGACACGGACCGTCGAGCGGAGCAGCGTCGAAGTCCAGAGCTCCCCAGATGTGCGGATCTGTACCTGCTCTTTCAGGCCCTCACGTGGGACCTTGCACTGCGGAGAGCTGATGCTGACAGATGGCTTGGGACCACTGTCAGGTGGAGAGTTACTGTGAAGGAATCACCCAGAGGCACCATGTGGCCCCTGCGTGTTGCTGAAGTCACCAGGGATTTCGCAGGGAGCCATGACGCTGTCTTCCCCCTC